GAAGGGGAGGGGAGAAGGGAAGGGGGCTAGTCATCGCGAATGATTTCTCGGTGGAATGATGCATTTCCTTCGGTCTCTCCCTCTCTCTCCCTCTCTCTCCCTCTCTCTCCCTCTCTCTCCCTCTCTCTCCCTCTCTCTCCCTCTCTCTCTTTACATGCACAAGGCATTCCAAATACTCGCATTCACGTCACCGTCCCCGCCATGCCCAACCAGGGTGCGTCCTTCTCCGTCGCCGTCCTTGTCCCGCTCTTGTCTGTGGCATATTGCTGTCCCTCGGTGACGGCAATCAAAGCCTGCCACTGTCGACGTTGACGGGCCTTTTCCTGCCTCTGTTTTTTCTGACACCCCCCGGGCCCCACATGGCCCCCTGCCAGGCCACCTCATCTTGGGCGAGCGAACCATTGCGCACATCTCCCGTCGGCTGCCCCCCGATGGCATTACCAGCTCGATCTGTGGGCATCCTTCCGCGCCAAGACGACGGCCTGACTCGCGCCATGGCGTCGGGAGGCTATCGGGGCCCAGGCAATTTCGCAGCGGCGGTGCTCGTCGAGGCAGCTCGTCGCAGCGAGTCACGGCCCATGTGCACACGGGCCTGGGGAGGCGGCGCCAAGGCAGCGAGTGGATCGGCGCCCCGGCAGCCATTGCGCATTCTTCGGGATTGTCGCCGCCGCTGCAACTCGACGCCTTGGGCCGCTGCTGTCGAGATTCAGCGTCTGAGCGCTTAGCGGCGTTTATGCGCTCGACGCGCATAACTTGTGGCGGATGCGCGCCATCGATGCGCGCGCCATGCAATCCAAGCCTTGTAAGGCTGACGGCCCTCCACGATGCACACCACACTCGTCGCTGTGCCCGCTGCCGCACGCAACCTCTGCCTCCCATCCCTATCCAGCCATGGCCCGCCTGTCGTGATGCCAACTGCGGGCTCGACTGCCCGAGTCCAATACTCCATGCTCATCGGGCTGCCTTGTCCGTGCCGCCCGCTGCCACCTTGGGCCGACAGTAATGCCGCGCCAGCAGAACGGCACACAGTGCCATGTCGTCGTAATCACGAAGCCGACTCTGCTCCCATGTCGCTGTGCGGCTGGGCTGCTCTCCTATCCTCAGGGTCCTGCTCCCCCTGCCCGCCATGCACCTCCCTCACACCGCTCCTCTCAATGTCGCTCCGTAGCTGCGCCTCTTGATCCGGGTCCTCGGTGCCCTTTGCGCTGTATTCCTGGTCCATGCGGCGCATGAGCTCTTCTCCCGGCAGTAGGATGCTTCGGTCAAGTGCAAACGGAAGCCCTCGATGCCTCCCCCGTACCATGGCCAAGAGCAGCACTACTTTGCTCAAGCCGGCAAACTCACCACATAGGCTGTAGTATTGGCCCGGCACCCCGACACTGAGCCCGACCGTTCCATACGCCGAAGTTACTTCGAACAGCACGGAGAAGATGCTGAATCCGGCATCTCCGTCAACCAAATGCTGGCGCTCGATGCAACATATCAAGAAGAAGACAAAAAACTGGAACCAGATGTCGTACGTCAGCTGCTTCTGTAGGTGCGAGGCAATGCCGGCAGCGCTGCCAGCCCCCCTTTCCAGTCCGAGCGATCTCTCTTCGTACGTGTTGGTCTTCCTCACCGTGAGCGTCATCGGGTAGATCGATATGTACCTAAGTATTGCATCACCTTGTCAGAATGTCTCATCCCCATCTTGTGTATTCTTGCCTCTTACATGATGACAAGATAGCCGACTAAACAAGCCGGGGCAAGAGAACTCATCGATATGATATAAGCTCCACTGGTTCGTAGCCCACTGGCTTGGAAAAGCCCATCCAGGATGCGCGTGCCAGTGGGAAGAGCTTCAACGTCCGCCATACCAGTGTTCAAAATCTCAAAGCACAGCCATGCCGTCATGTCAATCATGAATTGTGTGAAGAACAGGTACAGTGTTTCGCGACTGGGAAAGAGGTAGATGTAGCATCGTCGTGGGTGCTGTAATAAGAAGCCCAACGTGTTTTTGACTCGTGACTCTTTGGGTGCTATTTTCTTCAACCCCCAAATCGTCACGCGGAGTAGGATCGGAAACTGAGTTTGCCCAGCAAAGGCAAGGGCCCCTGCTACCAGCAGAACATACGCGTTGCCGCTGAACGGAATAAAGTTGGCGTTTAGGATGTTGAGACCACCGTTCGCAAACTCAGTGACACTCGCAAAGAAGCTCCACCACCCTGGATGTATTCCTCCTGGCTGCGATTCCTTCAGTATGTTTTTGACGTTACCGCGATAGGCGTACGGTAGCAGAAAAGTGACTCCAAGTAGATACCAAAAGACTTGATAACCGATCAAAATAAGCAACAAAGCTTGTAAAGCGCGGTACTCGACGCCTCCAAGCTCCATGCGGTCCTGCTCACTCAGTTCTCGAAAACGACCCCTAGAGTCCAGGTGCGGCTTGAACGAGATGTAGTCGTGGTGTTCAGGTCTTAGTTCAGTGGCAAAGACGGCGATGGTGCGACGAAACATGTTGCGTACGAATCGCGTTTCCCATGGTGCCGGTAAAAAGCCAAAGTCCCTTTCGTAGTAATAACCCTGTTTACGCGATACTGGTTTGATCTTGACGGTCGAGGAGCCGTTGCCGCCCATCTGTTTGCTTTGAGATGTCTGACTTTGAGTGGTTCCTGTTCTTTGACGCAGGCTTCTGCCACTGCCACTGCTGCTTCCCAATGTATCCGATTCAGGGGTTTCCTCAATATCCCGGACCAATCGTTGCATGGTATGCGAATGCTTTACGACATCTGCTAGCTTTCTGCGAAAAAGAGCTCTCCTGATCAAAACCACGGCTGTCGATACAAATGGTATGTTGCCAATCATCATGAGGACGGCAAAGGTTGCTTGTTGATAGCCAGACAGTGAGCCAAGATCGACCGGATTGAGGCCTGCATCGCAGTTAGTACAAGACCCAGACTAATTGCTTAATATAGCTTACCTGTAGTTGTCATAGCGCTACAACACAGGAAAAGTGCGTCTACATACTGCAGGTGGGCTCCACCGGGCATCTCGGGTCCATCAGCAAGCCCCTGTACATAGACGATAACCGATGAAAGCGCAATAACAACCACAAAATAGAGCATATGGGCGCGATAAAAGTTGAGTTTGAAAAGCTCCTCTTTCAGATACTTGACAATGTCGTCCTTTGCTTTCTGCGGTCTCTGCAGCTCATTGAGCGGATCCGTCATGACGGATTCGTCATCGCCGTCGTCATCAAGTCGCTGCCAAAACGAGCTCATGCTCAGGGGTCCGGATGTATCAGGTTCGTCTATCGTTTCGAGTGGCCTGGTGTGGTTTGATGTCGTCGTTTGCTCTAAGCTGATGTTGTGTTTTTGGAAGCTACGTTGCCAGGTCTTGGTGTGCCCATGATGTCACTCGTTGTCATACCTTGCAACGCCTTCCGAAAACGAATGCACAGGCATCTCACGCACCCAACGTAGCTGAATCACAAGTTTGTGATGCCATTTAGGAATTGCTTCGTGCATGAAACACATTAACAGTGATATCGGTTTCCAGCAATAGGGTTCACACGGGCTACTTGAGAATGCGCTGACCTACATTCAACCGGGCTCTGCGCCACACTCAATCATCACATCACGCTCGAGGGATAGTTGGCTCATTCATAATTTTTATTATGAATCAACTAAAGTACAAAGATATTCAAGTTTCCCATCGTCCATCAGTATGCATCTAATCATGGAAATGAACAATGTGAACAAACCACCGCATGTCAACCCTCATGCGTGCCGAAATATCGAACAATCCAGAATTCCCAACTTCCCAAAGACACCATTTCGATTTACAAGAGGCCAATTACTTGCTAAAGTCAACAAGATATTTCAATGAGTGCGGCCGAGTCCGCACACCGCCTGCAGCATTTGCCTCACGAAAGTCTCTCATCAGCACCCTCAGCACCGTATCCTCTAGAAATAACTCCAACGTCTTCTTATCAATCTTGGGGAGGGGTGGGTAAGATCGCTGGGAATTGGGGTGTTCGACGTGATGACTACGTAGGAACTTGGTCTTTGAGATTTCGACTATGCGGTTGAAAAGCGGTATTAAAGATCGTGACGTGAATAAGAAGTTGAGCTCACACTTGGTTTCGTAATGACATAGGGTACTGAAAACGCGACCAAGCCAGACTACTTCGCCTTCAGGCAGAGGCGGGCCGACAAGTGATATCGACCAAGGGGGATGGATAGTGAGGTGGCGAAATGCTCCGTTGAGATTTTCTGTCGCGATCATGGAGAGGAACTGTGGAAGGCCATCGATTTCTTGCATAAATGCCTGTTTCCAGCGTTGGGCCCAATGGAACTGGACTTTGTTCAGGTACTCGTTGAGAAATTCGGACCGGATAGCAGGATCTCGTGCAAAGTTGCTCGTAAAACTCGATCGAATGTAAAGCGAAGGACACCATTTGCGTTCAGGTATCAGAAATACTAGGCTCCAGCCACTGCGACTGATTCGAGTCTTGTAGTTCTGTCTGCCTCCTATATCAACGAGGTTCCTGGCGCAGACTTCTCCGTCTCGTTCATAGACGACAGATCGGTCCATCTCGGGGAACGCTATCATGTAGATCTTAAGACGCAGTTCCACAGGAAGCCCGGGGGAGTGGGTGAGGCCAGTGTCTACGGCTGACGTGCGGGAACGCTCAGGAATATGAGTCTGCATCGCTCCTGGACTTGGGTCATCGGGGGGCATGGCGGATCGTTAGGCGTGGGAGACAAAGTTTGTAAAGCTTTAGTGGGACTTGAGAAGGAAAGACGGGTGTTTTTGTGCGCGGATAGGCAATTGGAAGAGCGCGAGGTAGGAGAAGGAGGCAAAGGCTGCAATGAGAAGACTTTAATAGCAGAAGTGGGTCTTGACAGAAGTGATGGTAAAGGCTGAGCTTGAGTTGGTCCGAGTGGGTCTGAGCGAATGTCAAACTGAAGGTGAGAGAGTACAGGAAGGGAAGGAGCAGCAAACAGTATTGCTCGGAAGCCTGGTACGAAGACACGTGATTAGTCAGAGGCCACAAAGATACTTGACGAACATCTAGGGAGCATGGCTGCGTTATTACAACAATCAGGCATTATGCAAGTTTCCATCTCAGCATTTGATTTCAAACGCAACTGCCGCGACAAGATTTGACTTGTTGTCATGGCAGCTTCACGTGACTACAGGCAACCCAAAATGTAAATGCCCGTAGGAATGATAAAAAAAAGAACATGTTGAGGAAACTAGTAACTGCACCCCAATGATGTTCTAGCATTCTCAGATCCTAACCACCTACTACCCCATTCTACACTATATGACCACTAAACTGCACGATTTATGACGTAAGAGAGAAGGCATGTGCTATTAAAAAGAAACACTATACATACTACGGAACATACCACCAGTGCATATGCTCACGCTCCCGGGGAACGGCTCTAACGCTTCGTCGACGAACACCCATTTTGTTTGGCGCGGGCAAGGGTTGTCGTTATTGGAACGTCGAACGTATATTGTCGCAAATGAGGTAGAGGAAAAACCACACAGCATATGAAAACGGATCAGAAATTATTCACGAAGGAGTGCAGGACGAAAGGAATCCTGCGCAACAGCGCTTCTTGGGTTTCGATGTGGTTTCTTCGACACTTCTATGACTAGGATGGATGAGCCTTTGGGGATCATTGCAAAAGAACAAACCCTCAAACGAAAAACAGCAGAAAATGCAATCGAGGACGATGATTGGCCTCTTGGAGAATACTCACGATTGCGCATCATGAAACTCATCATCCTCCTGTGTTTCGCTATCTTTTCTCCGTAGAAGATCATCCTTCCGGGGTTCTGGCGCAGGGTTGGAATGAAGTAGCTTGCTAGGGGGCAGTTCTTCTGCAAACTTTTCTTGCCTTTGTGATGAGATGGTCTCTGGTTGTGACTTTGAACTTTCGGAAGATAGCGTTGGCGGGTTACTTGAATCGGTGGGGTGGCTACTGTGTGTGGAGAGCGGGGTATGAGTCGATGTTCCGTCGAAGTTGTTGGGAAGACCTACGCTCTGCTGTTGCTGTGGCACAACTGCTGGCTGCGACTGTACAGTCGTTGGCTCCGAAGGTATCGCAGACTGTTCAGTTGGTACTTGTTCGAGAGAAGGGGTAGATTCTTGCGCGTGCGCGTGATGAGCTTCGGATGCGCGTGAAGGGATGCTGAATCTTCGGTCAGGCCTTTGCCCGGGAAGTATAGCGTGGATTTGCAAAATCTGCTTGACGACTTCTTCGGGTGTCTTTCCGTCACTGCATCTTGTCAGCATAGGCTGTGCGTAGGGGATTCGAATACGAACATATTGGCGTTGATGATCCAGTCAAGGTCTTCCTCGCCTTCTTCACTCCCGCCGTGGCCGCCCTTTACCCGTCTGAAGAGTTGTGGATGCCAATCGACGCCTTCGCTGTTACGTTTCGCGGCTTCTTGGCGTTGTCTGTCTTCGATCTTGGCCTTTTCGTCAGTCGCTACGTCCTGGTCCCTCCGCTTGACAGCTTCTGTCACTTCATGCCACAGTCTCTGCGACTCTCGCTCGTCTTGCTCCTCCAAGGGCCGTGCTGAGGGTGGTGTGTGCCTGGTGTGTGCGGCATCAAACAGTAGCTCTTTTTTGCCAGTCTACGAGAATTAGCAAACCGCTAGCGTGTAACATGGGAGATTCCCACCGTCAGATCTTTGATGTACATTTCCTCATTCCACTGGCCTGACAGCTCATACAAGTTCTTGCCGTTTGCGTCTTTGATGTAGCCACCAATGGCATTGTACGTTCCGCTAAAGTAGCCCTTGGTCTTGAACTCGAGGTCGGCATTAAGTCCGGTCTCAGGGCAGCGAATGTAGGCGTGGTCGCCGAGCTCGTACTTCATTGTTCCGAAGAGAATGCCGCGCGCATACATGTTGGGCTGTGTGACAAAGCTGTGATGTGATGAGCTTTGCACACGCATAAATCATCCCAGTTACTCACAATCGTTCGCCCGTGTTCAACAGTCGCAAAATGGCAATGCCTTCCATCATGCTAGCCGCAGAGTTACCCAAAAACTTGCTCCTAGGTTTAAGAGTACCGTCTATGCGAATGTGGTGTTCTGGCGCCATGAAAAAATAACTCGACTTGGGCGGGTGGTGCGACGTCTGCTCGGCGATGTAGTATCCCCTGGTACCGTCGGAGTAGTCCCAGTAACCGGTAAAGATCTCGCCGAGTATGGGGTTGAGCGGCTTCTTGACTCCACTACACTCACATCAGTTGTTGCATTTGGGCGGGTAATTACTGGGGATATGCATACGGGGGCTTGATGTGCCATCCACTGAGATAGAACTTTGTCACGGCTACGAATCGCTGCACAGGGTCTTCCACCTTGGGAATAGGAAGAAGGGTCTCGGGGTGTGCCATGAAGCTAACCGGCCAGTCAGCAAGCGTCTCTCTCTTTGTTTGTGTAACCAGTCCACTACACACTTTGTTATGCGCTCCAGCATCGATCGCGGTTCGAGGATAAAGGTGGGCAGCGTCACTCGGCTCAAGTCGGCGCCTGGTCGCAGCTGTGATATGATGTGTGTGAGCACTGCGCGTTAGGCGGTTAGCCAGTGCTTCGTGCAGGCCCTTCCCTTTGGTCCCAAATAAAAACGTACTGTTGCCCTGCTCCGAGTCAATGACCGTCTCGTCTTCCTTGGTAACATCGTCGCCGCCATCATGCCGCCGTGACTCGTCTATGGAGGATCCGCGACTGCCTGGATGCTCCAACAGCTGTTAGCCTCAAAGTGTACGCACAAATTTGTTCGGAACACTCGGTACAACCGGCAGCCGGGGTATGACGCACTTGTGAGCGAAGTCCGGCGGTGTTTGGAGGTAACTCCAGGTATGTGCGGCATGCTGGGTGGCCGGCCGTGGAGAAGAAAAAGAGAGAGGTCGGTATGGGAGATTCGACGGGCGGAGGATGCAAGAAAAAAGAGGTTTGTGGTGGCAGGCAACAAAGCCCCGATCGAGGTTGTGTTGGTGCTTAGGGCGCGCGGGCGTGGGTGAGCTCTAGTTTACGGGTGGCTGCAATGACGAGAGCGGCGCTTCACAAAAACTAGTAGCCCCGCGCAGCAGTTGTTTGGCGGCAAACGGTAGCAGCAGTGGTGGTAGACATCAACAACGAGCAGGAAGCGGGCAAGAAGGGTTTTGAGAGGATCTGCGCGGCGTTACATATACAGCCTTGGGGTTCTCGGGTTCTTCGCAATATGGGCCATGACCAGTGCCAGGCTATCTTTCTGCACGCCTACTGACTGCCCCGCAATCGGCACGGCTTCCATACGGCAGTGCGCGCCAAGTTGCATGCAGCACGGCAGAACAGGGAACACGCACGCCTCTGCTTCCTTTGAAAAGCACGTCTGGTAATGCAAATACGATGGCAGTGGTTCTATGGAACTCGCGGGTACGAGACAGTGGGGCTTTTGTGGGATACCTCAGGGACATCAGGCGCCCGAAGCCTAGCTCGCTTCCTCATACTTCCGGGAGAACCGACTCCGCTGCGGTACTGTACATGATGTGGCAGTTGACTTGCCGTGCTGCTGACCGCCAGCAATGACCTTGCTGCATCATGTGATGACGCAAGCCGTCTTCAGCATGCATCTAGAGCCATTTGCTCGCTACTGCTACTGTGGACGAATATTCAGCTGTGGGTGCGTGTGCATGTCAGAGCGTGGCGCTGACGTTGCGGTGTGGCTGTTCTAGTCCAACACGCTCTCCCCAGCCTCATCCACATTCTTTGCGCTTTAGTCGTGCCCTGTCTTGGGCTGGTCCCTGACCTTTTGCAACTGTGCGTCATCCTTGTCAATCACACTCACTCCAAGCTGCTCGTATTCTCGGTGAACTTCTGGCATGGCCGCGGGATCGACCGCTCTCGTCGCCTCACCGATAACCCACGTCTTGAAGCCCTCCTTGTGCGCATCAATGGCAGTGTGCTTGACGCAGTAATCAGACGCCAGGCCAACGACATAGACGTCTGTGATGCCAGCTTTGCGCAGTGTCTCTGCCAGGCCGCTCTTGGCCACACATGGGCTCTTGAAAGGGTCTGCGAATGCCGAGTACATCTCCACGCGCTTGTCCTGTCCCTTCTCAACTATATGATGCACCTTGCTGACGTGTAGCTCTGGTAGCAGCTCTGCACCCTTGGTGCCCTGTACACAGTGATCCGGCCATAACCGCGTCTCCTGCTTCTCTTCTGGGTTGTGCGGGTTCACAATTGTGATGATCGACTCAAAGGGTTTGTTGTTGGGCGCAGGGTGGTTGGAGGCGAAGGAAATGTGGTCTTGAGGGTGAAAGTCTTTGGTGGCTACTTTCAAGGCGAAGGGGTGGTCGAGGAGTTTGTTAATCAGCGGTACGATGTCGCGGCCTCCAGCTACTGCTAGCGATCCGTTCTGGCCTGTGAGCGACGGGGCAGCGAATGAACCGAGCCACTTACTGGCGGGCAGAAATCCTCCTGCACATCGACAATGACAAGTGCGGGTTTGAAAGCCATGGTTGGTGGTTGGATCGAACCTAGCAGTGGGTGAGAGAACACGCGAGTTGATTGGGAAGACGGGCAGCGGGAAAGGGGGGGGGGATGCAGCAGAAGCACGGCGCAAGGCTGTGTCACCGGGGTTTCTTGTTAGTGCAGAGGATCAAGACAGCGCTGGACATTTGGGCTGCAGAGGCTTATCGCGGGCTGTTTAGGCACGCGCGGTTTAATGATTCAACGATTGGCAGCAGGCAAACCAAACCGGATCGGAAGTGGAAGTGGAAGTGTGTGGCTCTGTCATTGTGGCTTGACGCCTTACCTAAGCACTGCGCAAAGCCAAGCTTCTCTCGTGACGGAACGTAATTCCACGACCACGAACTCCCCAGCTCTATAGCCACGCCCACCCTCTCCACTCCACCCCAATCGCTGTCGCCATGTTTGTCCAGCGCTCTGCCATTGCTGCTGCGAGGCGGGTTGCCCCCCGCGCCTTTGCCCAGCGCGCCTTCAGCACCTCGTTTATCCGCCGTCAGTTTCACTATCAGCTATCGTACGATATGCCATTGACCCGATTGCAGGCGACGCCAACAATGAAGCCAAGGAGAGCAACATTGCGCAGAAGGAGACGGGCCACTCTGCCAATGCCCCGAGCATCCTAGAGGGATTTAAGAAGCTCGAGGGTATGTTGCGCCCGCACTAAGCATTTCCGCATTTCCGCGGTTACCGCGATACGAGTGCATCAATGGCTAACGAAAATATTGTTTCACAGAGATCAAGTCCGAGGCCGACCTTCTTGCTCCCGGTGCGCAGCCCGGTACCGTTCCCACTGATGCCGAGCATGCCACGGGTCTTGAGCGTCTCGAGATTCTTGGAAAGATGCAGGGCATCGACATTTTCGACATGAGGCCATTGGATGCCAGCCGCGTCGGTACGTTGTGCACCAGCTTGCATGCGGGGGTGTTGGCAGCCGCTGCGCAAGAGCATTGGGATGGCTAGGGCATTGATGCTGATGAGACGCAGGCACCATGGAGGACCCGATTGTGGTCAACTCGGCGGGCGACGAGCAGTATGTGGGGTGCACTGGATGCCCTGCTGATTCGCACAATGTCATCTGGATCACGCTCACGCGCGAGGAGCCCAAGTCTCGCTGCATGGAGTGCGGATCCGCGTACGAGATGCACTACGTTGGACCGGCAGAGGACAGCCACGGGCACGACGACCACCACGGGCACCACGAGAACCCATACCCAAGGCCCAAGAACATGGCAGACTTTATCAAGCCCGAATACGCCGAGCTGTAAGCGTGTGTGAGGATGATTGCAGGGTGTATGTATTGGAGGGAGAAATGAGTACAGTAGCATAGACGGAGCGAGAAGCATGATTTGAGTTGGCGGGTGCATCAGCTCGTCTTTGTTTGTCTTTGATGGCATAAGGCCCCAAGAATGCTAGTCGTTGCACTACACAGATACAAGATTATGCATGAGTCAGTGGGCCGTGAGGCAGGCATGCTGGTGCAGGGCACGGGTGGCGGGCGTGGCTCTGGCTAGGAGCCTTTCAAGGCAATCATGCCCAAGACGACAGTCTCAATCTCGGCCCTGTCGCTGTCGTGGTTGATTGCCTCGAGGCAACCTTGTGTGGTGAATGCATTAGTCTTGGGCGTCTTGGTCGTCGTCGTCGCCGCCCCACCGTCAGCACTACCCAGTTTATAGACCTTTCTGACCTTGTCTAGTTGGCAGCGCAAGCCTAGCTCGGTGGCGTCGTGTCCGATGTCAAGGCTGGTGCCTTGCACAGCACTGGCGAGATGTGCGCTTACGCTTTGATTGGTGACGGAGTCGTCCTTGGCGTAGGGGCGGCCGGGGGCGGAGGGCGAGGGCGACAGAGGCAGCTTGACAGCGATGATGGCTGTCGAGTGGTCCGAGATGCCAAACGTGGCGTAGGCGTGTGCAATGTTGTTGTTGGGCGAGAGGCGGAAGACGAGCTCGGAATGGGGGGTGCGAGTCTTTGCACGACCGGTCAGGAAGTTGTGGAGGGCAATGAAAGTGGCCGAGAGCAGGTGCTGGGGTGAGATGATCTATTATGGGCGGTCAGTGTGGTGGACGGTGTGCGAGGTTGGAAAGCAATCAGCGGCGACGGGCAGGCGTCCTGGGCTCACGAGGTGTGGCTAGACGTGGCCCGTTTGCAAACACTAGGAGGGTGAGGTTGAAGCATGGCCGGGTAGATGCCTGTAGGGGCGGGCGTCGTGCGATCCCGGCGCTGGCGCTGTGCCACAAGGGGCAGGAGGAGCCTGAACCATTGCGGCAGCTGTGGCCGGCCGGGCGCAGGCAGAGGGGACGGGGGGGGTAGGGGGTAGGGGGGCGCCGGGGCACGTGAGCAGGCGACACAAAGGAGAGGGCGGCCGTGGTGGTGGCCGTGGCCGTGGCAGCGCTGTGATCAGCGGCTGGGGGAGCCAAGGGCGCACCGCCAGGCGGGAAAACGCAGGACCGGGGGAGGGGGGTGGGGACAGGGCGTCGTACCATGGAGGCGTCGAGAAAGGCATAGTCAAAGTCTGGATTTGCGTCTAGCAGCTGACGCCTCAGCGATGAGGCGTTTGTGACATGGTCGAAGAGGGCCACGTGGACGGGGTAGAGGTGGTAGTGCGGCAGCGTGAAGGTGCGCACCGAGGCCATGGTACGAGGGCGCGGATGGGTTGATGTGCAGCAGGGCAGCGCGGGCTGGGCTGGGCTGGCAGGGCTGGCAGGGCGGGCGGTCTGTCCTTTGCTATTAGGCAGGGCAGGGCCGGGCAGGGCAGGGCAGGGCAGGGCGCAGGCTCCACCAGGGCGTGAGCCGGGCGGGCCGTGGAGATGCGTGATTTGAGTAAGAGGACGAAGGGGGGAGAGGAGAGAGGTTTGGGGGGCAGCGGTGGGTGTTTGGAGGGTCCATGGTCTGGCGGTAGCGGTAGTGCTGCTGGCCGCGGGCGCTGCTAATGTCGCGGGCAGCCAAGCGTGCGCGACGGAGGCCAAGCGCCGCCGCCCAGGGCGAATCAGCGCCGCCGCCCGCCCACGATCGCCGCGAGGGCCGCCCTAAATTGGCCGAGCATGTCAGGGCACACGGTGCTGCTACCGTCGCTTTGAAGGAGAATCGCCGAGGCTACCCAGTCTCTCGCGGCGCGGTCAACCTTCACCTCTTCTGCGCGCGCTGCTGGTCCAGAGCGGTGCACACTCAAAGAGGCCCTGCGCGCGCCCTCGCTGTGCAAGGCGACGGCTGCCACCACCACCACCACCGCCGCGCCCTCGCCCGCGCCCTCGCCCTCGCCCTCGCCCTCGCCCTCGCCCTCGACGCCGCCGCCCCCCCTCCCTCCCCCGCCGCCTCGCCCTGCCCTCGCCGCCCTCGCCCCCACCGTCTCTCGCGGCTAGCGGCCATGCGCATGCGCTTCTTCTGACAGGTCATAGCCCCAAGCCACACCAGGCCCTTCCTGGCACACCTGCCCATCGGTCGTTCCCACGGCATTTTCCGCTTCCGTCCACCTCACGTCGCCTTGCATTGCGCACCATGGCGACGAAGCGACCTCCCGACAACGACCCCAGCTTCACCACCAAGATCCAGCGCATCGAGCACGCTGCACCGCAGAGCCCTCAGCACCGCGCTGCTGCCGCTGCCGCCGCCGCCGCCGCCGCCAGCAACGACTTTTCCGGCTCCGTCAAGAAGAAGCTCGCCGACTCCAAGCGCACCGGCCAGGCCTGCGACCGCTGCAAGGTACTTCTCAATGCCCTTCCTGCCTCGTGTTTCGTCTCGCTCCCCCAGCGCCCGACACACATGCACGTCATAGCTGTGCTAACCGCCCCTCCCCCCTCCAGGTCCGCAAGATCCGCTGCGACGGCCGCCCCGAAGGATGCACCCCGTGCGAGCAGAACAGGACGCCATGCCGCACCACCGACCGCATCACCGGACGCGCCACGGTGCGCGGCCATGCCGAGGCCATGGAGTCCGAGAACTCCTATCTGCGCACCCAGATTGCAGACCTCCAGGCCCAATTGAAGGAGCATGGCATCGACCCCCGCACCCCGCCTGCCTTTAACCCGCTGCACCAGCACCAGCACCAGCACCAGCACCAGCCGCAACCCCCACCGCAGTCGCAGTCGCAACAGCTAGCCACGCATCCGTGGTCATCGGCCTCGAGCGATGCCCCGCCCTGGTCGGATGGGCCGCCCCGCGCCAGCGCCTCCCCGTTGCCTGGCTATGCCGCCGCCAGCACTACGTCCAAGGCCGAGTCGCTGCCCCAGTTCAAGCATGGCTCAATCGGCGACAACTACCTGGGCGTTGCCTCGGGAGACTCGCCGCTGAGCCACATCAAAGGCACCTCGCTCTCCATTTTCGGCAGCGACATTGACATCACCGACTTCATGGCGGGCGAGACCGAGTACAATCGAGAAGCCATGTCCTACTCGACGCTGGTCAAAATCGCCATGGGCGGTCAGCACGTGGACCCGCCCCGCCTGCCGCCCTACAACGAACTCAAGGAGTATGCCATCTGGTACCTGCGGTCCATGAATCCCTACAGTATGCTGGTCCACAAGCCCGTCTTTATGCAATTGGTACCATCTGACCCGTCTCCGCTGCTCCCCCGTCACCTACTGACAAGCGTAGATTTGGAGAATTGGAAATGACCCCAACTTCACCCCAACTGCGCCTGAGCGTGCAGCAGTCCATCTGATGCTCGCCACCATCACCTTCCAAGTCGCAATCCGCAACAGTGACCCTAATGGCAGCGATATGCTAGATAACTCGCATGCCCACTACCACTACGCCCTGACTTTCTACAAGGAGCTCATTCTTGGCGCCCATGGATGGCGAGATGTCCAAGCACTGGCAATGATGTGCCACCACCTGCGAAACTTTCCCAGACCCGGTGCTGCCTGGATCATGACATCCACCGTCTATCTCTTGGCCATTCAGCTCGGCCTGCACAGGTCCGTCAAGGTCTGGAAAGACGGCACTGGCGACCTGACCAAGCTGGACATCGAGATGAGGAAACGAGTCTTCTGGACCTTGAATGCTCTGCAGGTCAATCTCAATGGAAGGCTAGGACGCCCCATGCCCATTAGCACCGAGGACATTGACGTCGAGTTCCCGGAACCCATGAACGACTGTCTGCCTGGCGAAGAGGCCAAACTAGACTCGTTCCACCAATGCTCGTTCCAGCCTGGCATCCAGATCGCAAAGTACACCATCTTGGAAATGGACCTGTGCAAAGCAGTTTATTCTTTGCGCTACACGCCAAAATCATACGTCGAAAGCTTGAAGCGCCTCGGCAATGCTATTCGCCAGTGGAAAGAGGACTTGCCGTACGAGTTGCGTGATCCATCGCACGCGGCCGACGACGATTACATATTTACTCTCTATCTAGAGTACTGGTACCAGTCCTACATTCTGCTATTGCATCATCCTGGAGTCTGCCGATCGACCGATCCCGCCATTATAAACTCGAATCTTGACAAGTGCGCACATGCAGCCCAGAGGATGTTGCATAATTGCACCGAATTGGTGAGCAAGAAGAGCCTGGATATTCCTTGGATCAACACCGTCATCTACATCGCTGCTGCTTTTACCACTCTATACATTGCGTCGACGCGCCAGGATCAGATGACACCCTCAGATATGACCAAGCTCAAAGCAGACATGACAGCCTGGGTCAATGTCCTTGGTGAATGTGATTATTTCCTCGGCTTGGGAAACAGATTAAAGGTTGCTATTTCGACAATTTTCGACCAGTCGCTCAACAACATCAACGACAGCATCGTCAAGCGAACGGCAACCGAGTCGCTTGCTCGTGTCGCCATGCAGGCTCCGTCGCGTTCGGGGTCCAATACCTCTGCATACGATCAAACTACATATCAAGATCAGTACGCGACCCCAACAAGCGGGTCTACGGACCCCACACTCTCTTCGCAACCGGGCCCATACACGAACCTTCCGGTGCATACTACACATACATATAACCTAGCCACTCAGGTGAACATGTCCTCACAGCAAAATAGAGGCTACGAACAGCAATCCTACAACAGTGGAGATGAAGCAAGCATGAATCCAAACCACGCAGCAGCACTCGCAGCAGCAGCAGCAGCATCATCATCCAGCATATCCCAACCTTCCTCTGATGCCTACGCCTACTCTCACGCCCACATGGCCCCCAGCGCCCCTCAATCTACGTATACGACCAACAGCTACCCTGCTCATGACTGGAACCAATGGACAAGAGCGTACATGCAACAACCACCCGAGCAAAGCCAGCCCGGTGAATACCTCAATACCGCAACGACGCTCATGACGCTTGGTCGAGACGCAGGCTCCCATGTCACGGGCAGCGACGGCCAGGGCCTTGTGCAAACATCTGGCCTCCAGGGACATCATCATTCCCCAGCACACTGGCCGCAAGTTTCTTTTCCAAATCCGGCGAATGGATCGCATTGAATAGACATATATCTTTCTTAAAGGCAAGGATGTGTGGGACACTTGACATGGGGGGAAAAGATCTACTTGGCTGATCACATATGGATTTGTATTTGTAACGGCCTAAACTTTTGTTGTTTTGCATCAATGACGTGCTTGGATGGGGTTGGGGGTGGGTAGGTGTAAGGCGGGGAAGGCGTGAAACATTTTGGTTTTTAGTTTTTGTTGTTGTTGTTGTTGTTGTCTATGGCATTTTCAACGCCTTTTGTTCCACCCCTTTTTTTTCTAGTCATGGGTGTGGAATCAACTGGCGTGTGGCGTGTGGCGTGTGGCGCAAAAGGCGAGGGGGGAAAGAGAAAAGAGAAAAGAAGACAAGACACACAGGGAGAGAGGGACAGAGAAAGCGCGCTTCAAAAAAATGCGCTCTTCATTTCCTCTTCTTTATTGTATGTCCCGTCCTGTTACTATTCTTTTTTTATCCTCCCTAGCTCCTTCCTCCGCTTCCTGCATATCCGTCAGCAATCTAGACGCGTCCTTTCTTGTTTTTTTTGTTGTTGTTTTCCTTTCTTTTATGCATGTCCATGCAATGTTCTCTTTTCTTCTTCTTCTGCTTCCTTGCTTCTCTGTCATTGTCATCATCATCATCATCATCATCACTTTTCCTCCAGTCCAACTTAATCAACATCTTCTTGGGCCGTCTTATTCTTTTATTCTCTCTCTCTCTCTTTCTTCGTTGCTCCATGGATTCATGCATGTATGTGAATGCTTCTTTTCTTCTTCTTCTTTTGTTTATTCGTTCTTTGGGTCTTGTCTACTTGGATGAGAAACATGATTTTATTCTTCCCAAAATTAGTTGGTTAGCCAGTCAGTCAGTAGTCAGTGGTTAATTGGAAAATGTAGGAGGAGAGAAAACAGGTATAATAATTCATTCTATCTATCCAGCTTCGTTGCGTCTGTGTGTCTTGTTGTGATGTGTGTTACATCTATTGTGTTCATGTTTACGTGTAAACGTTAGTATCAAGATAGCAAGGATATGCGTAGAAGCTGTAAGGAGTGTTGGATTGTATGGACGGTGTACTGAATGGTAAGGAGAGGGGTGGGCTCCTGGGGGAGAGGGAAGAAAGAATATGTAGGTAAGCTGGGTGAGCAGGAAATTTATGTACTTTGCGGGATGAAAAGATAATAAATACGTATACCAATCTCACGATTGTTCATGTGGTTATGTTATGTGCGGGTAGGCCTTTTTGCATATTTATGATGGCTGAAGTTTCGATCCTCCCTGTTGCAAAGATTCAGTGTCATTCAGCATGTCTATCAATTTTGTAACAAGATCCAAGCTGCTTCATACCCGGCTTTGAGTTGCTATGATAGAGCGAGCTTGAGGAAATGGGGAGTGCTGTTATCTTCTTGGATGAAGGAAGGGAGGATCAAGATTTGCTTTTGTAGGAGGTGATGCACAGGGTTTCGAGGAAAGCGTAGAAAAACATTGATTGAAGGTAGTTGGGGAGTAAGTCGTAAGCTATGCGACAGCCTGTTATGGGGGTTTTTTTTTGCTCCCCATGCTACCAGCAATTCCACAATTTCCGTGTGACCCTTCTTCGAGGCGATCGTCAGTGCAGTGCCATAGAACCTATCTTGAGCGTTAACTTCGGCACCTTTGTCTAGCAATAATTTGACTGTACGTTTATGACCTTCTCGGCAAGCTGTGTGAAGAGCAGTACCTTGAGCATAGCTATATGCATTGATCTTAGCACCTCTCTCTAACAATAACTTGACCAAATCTACATAGCCTCCTCGGCAAGCTACGTGAAGAGCAGTAGTCTGAAAAATGTTCCGTGCATTGACATTGCTGCCTTTGTCTAGTAACAGCATTGCCAAGCTTGTGGGGCCATGGGAAGAAGCCTGGGCGAGAGCGTTGCCATAGATTTTGCATTGAAACTCTACATTGCCTCCTCTTTCCAATAGTATTCGAGCAACGGTTTCGTGGGAATAAGCTATTGCAAGCATGAGTGCTGTTGTGCCATGACCATGTCTACTGTCAATAAGGTCAGGGCGGTTGTCCAGTAAGAATACTACGATATCTAGAAACCCTTCTCGCGATGCTATGTGAATTGCGTTGCAATCTTTGCGATTCTTTGCTTCGATGTTTGCACCTGCGAAAACAAGTAGTTTGACAATCGACCCGTGTCCGTTTTCAATTGCAGCATGCAGCGCTCGATCTCGCGAATCAGGCTGGTCGTCCAAAATAGCCGCTTTATTGCGCAGCAACAGCTCAACTATATCTTCATAACCTTTTTCTGATGCGTCGAATAATGCATATTGAAATTCAGAAGGCGGAGAATTGGTGTCATACTCTGATGACCCGAGCAACAGGATCGTCAGCCACTCGGGGAAGACCAACTTGGCGTTAAGCATGAGGCGTCGGTTCTTCCTATAGTACCGACGAAGCTCGCGCTTGTTATTGACTGTAATCTGGTTCTCGATTTCCGCATGCCTGTTTTCCACAATTTGGCCTGGCGAAGCTGGTCGAAGGGCAGTCGAGAGAGCTTGGGTCGCTGCATTGTTTGCGTGAACAACAGCAGCGAAAAGAGGGAACCCATACCGGTCTGCCTCAATCCTTAAAACCTGGCCTTTTGGAAGATGAAGGTGAATCAGGTTTGCGCAATCCAGTTCAGCCAGTATGTACAAAAGGCTGACACTGGGTTGATGCCTGCGAGAGTCAAACTTCTGGAGCATGTTGTCTAGCTGAACCCAGCGCTCAAGCTTGAAATCGTCTAGAAATCTGGCTTGAGAGATACCGTGAGATTCTGCCAAGTCTGTGTGATAGAAAATGTTTTGAACGGCGTATTCTAGCAATGGGTATTGCTGCCTAGCCGACCGACGTAAGTTCTTCGCTTCCGGGGAGGATGCTTTTGGCAGAGGATTAGGAATCTTCAGCCATTTTTCCAGATCGGTAGCGAGGTATGTCTTTGAGCGATGTTTCAATCTTTCGTGGCTTCGGCCTTGGAAGTTGACATTGTACTCGGGCCAGGCCTTGGACAACCCATCTTCCTTGAGTAGGAAGTCTCTAACTGACTCGTGTATGAATTGAACCTGTCGGTTTTTGGACACCGTGATATCAGTAAGGCCTTTAAAACAATCAAGTATGAAGTTGCTGATTGTCTCTTGGGTGATTTCATCGGGCTCCCACGCAGATATAGCACTGGGACCGCTACCCGAAAGGATAGCGCAGTACAACTGCTCGGGACTAAGTGGCTGTTTCGCGAAGAGTACCCATTGAATGCACAAAACTACCTCTTCCTTATTGTTCGTATCCCGGGTGAGAATGTTGAGAAACAGACTGTGCAAATCGCCCGGGATTTCGTCCAATTTTTGTCGCAACTCCAAAAGGCGACCACGGAAGTATGTTTTGTCCAAAATGCCTACCACCAGAACAACCCACATAAAGACTCCGGTTGCCTTCTCTTGGACTTCGGCTCGAACTTGCTGGGCCATTTTGGTTTTTCCAATTTCCAGCTTAATTTCAATGTAGTTGGTGATATCTTGACTGTGGCCTTGTTGCTGTTCTAGCATAATTTCAAGGCTTCTGCGGATGGAGATGCGAGGATAGTGCCTACTTGCAAAGCAGGTCAAGAAACGTACGCCATTTTCAACAGAGGACTCCCCGATCTGTGTTTCGTCACATTCGTCGAGTGCATCAACGAAGCACATGACGGAGCGATTTCCCAGTTGCTGTAGGGCTTTCTCTAGCAGCGTCTGCAAGGAGTGCACGCTCCATTCAGGGACGGCGTCGAGGCTTGATGTTTGCTAGTAGAATGATTCAAACACATTCTAAAGTTCGGGAAATGCAATGAGCAGCTGTAATAGTAATGATCGATAAGCTCCGGTCGTAGAACGCTCCATCGCGCTCCCTCGTGCGTTGAAGAAAAAAAGAAAGAACAATGTGATTTTTCACTTTCTTAGATGCCTTCTCAAAAGTAAACTTCATCAGCGTGGACTTTCCTGAGCCAGCTTTCCCCTTGATCCATAGAAAACCATGATGCTCATGTATCTTTGCAGGATCGAGCCAGCTAATATATTCGGTGCCTGTCAAGAGCCACTTGCATGTTTTCACATGAGCTCTTTGGATCGCGTTCTTCCGTTCGTTGCTTTGCACAAACTTCAGGGACCCTAGGATTTTCTGCTTTTACCATTCCGTTATTTTTTTGGCGAGTTCTGTCTTGGACTAACGCACTCAGGTGAGCCTTCACTTTTTGTTAATGAATTAGGGTGAACCTACGCATGGGCTCACTCTTCCTGCCACAGTTAGCCATTTCCGTTAGAAAAATATCAGCAAATGGTGGGAGTAGCCTACTCTTCAAGACCGTTCTCTGGAGTACTGGAATTTCCGATCTTTCTGCGCTTAGAGGTAGCCTCGTTGGCGTTTGCCGATGGCGCGTCTTGTTCTGTCACTGCGTAAATATGAACCGAACCTAGGAGGTCAGATGACCTTGGTACTAACCTCTCTTACTGCTCATAACCTCTGCTATCCTGGCTGTTTCAAGTACTTGTGCTGGTGGGATCTTGAGGAGAAGCTCTTTGGCATACGCTGCTGCAGTTGCGGCTGCATAGCCCTGCCATTCATCATTCTTGTGCGAGTCCGCATAATTGCTGATGCCACGAATTACAAGACATGGGAAGCTGTTCATGAGTCCAGCTGCTTCCATCTCGAAGCAGAGTACACCCCCAAGGCTTTCGCTAATCTGATCTCTCTCAATAGCGCTCTTCATCACTTGGTTGCCCGACGCGATGGTGCCATAGTGTACTGTTACTTCTTCTTCTTTGCTGCGTTGTGAACGAATCACTTGCTTGTCGGAATGGCAATTTTTACATGTTGGACCTCCTTCATGGTTGTAGGTTGCGTCGTAAAGCACATCAAGACTCGATTCACTACGCCGGAGCTTGCGTATGTGCTCAATCTCCGAGAGGATCTTGAGTAGCTGGCTTTCGCCCAGAAGGGCGTCAGATTCCAAAGCCCCCACTGCACTGAGAAGTATTCGTGGTGGCGAATCTAAGCTTCCTGTTCTAATAACTTTGGTTGTTGTCGTCTTTCCTTGGTCGTATTGCACAACGCCTGCATGGATACCATCCGGGACACTCACAACCACGTCTCCAAGTCTTATGTCATTTCGCTCGCTCGACACCCCTCCGCCAACGCCTACCATGAGTCCGAACTGAATTCCTTGGAATTTGGCTTGCATCCGTGTCGCTAAAGCCGCCGCCGAACTTGTTCCAGTACGTCCTGGAAGGCATGCGATGACGACGTTATGACCGGCCATGGACCCCGTGTGGTATACGTCCTCAATATTCTCCCCAGAATCTGGGACAGGAACATCGTATTTCTCATCCAGCAACGCTCTCGCCGCTGTGGCCTCGATAGGTAGTGCGCATACCCATCCTACGGTGTACTCTTTGCGGCAAGGCTGGCGCGGCATTTGTGATCAGACGATACGTATAGAGAAAAGCGCGACGATTCCCTTCGACGGATAGAAAGTGAATGGTTTACAGGATATATCTCGATCTATGATCAAATCAAAGGAACAAAAATACTGCAAAGTGTTGTGGACAGAGGTATAGCATGTGGGGATGATAAGTAAGAGAAGATGTGTTGTATTGAAGCTACTAGGAGAAGCGGCTAACGTGGTTCACAAGTGAGTCGCTAACCCAAGCGAGTCGCTAACGCCCCACCACTACATCTACATCAACACGTTATCACAGTTTTTTATCACAGTTAATAAACTATTGCGATACACTAAATTAATTGTTAGAATTGCTACTATTACTTGCACTATCTATCTCAACTACGCAGGTACGAGCGTTGTGTCCAGTCTGCTTGCAACGCCCGCACCGCCGCTCTCCTCGCACCCTCTTCGACGCACTCTCACCATCACCACGACTGCTACCCGCCTGTTTAGCTAATACTTCTTGTACTTCGCCTATAGTAAGAGTCTCTTCTGTCCGTACGTATCGCCGCTTGCGGCTTTTACGCTTATTTAACTCGTTAAGAGCCGCTCGAAGCGTACCTATTTCCTCTATTATAAGCGTCATTTTATGTGCCATTTGCTGGGCCCCCTTACTTAGCTGCGCGATCTACTTAGTGAGTGAATTGGCAGAAGACCCACGGCGTTTTCTCACGCTCTCTTGAATGAGACCAATTTGAGACTCAACTTCGCGCGCGTTGCGTGGTGTCTGCGCCTGCCAGGCGGCTACCTGTTGTGGTGATTGTACAGGTGTCTGCACCACCACATCAAGCTTAGATAGCACAGCCTGTGGGTCGTGTGGGACTAGACTAGCGCCTCTAAAGCCAGCTTGGATATTCTCCTTTGTGATAGACTGCTCAAAAGCAGTCTTAAAGGCTGGTAGGAAGGTCCCTTTGCTGATATAGTGGGTGCGGTTGCGTGCTAAGCCTGAAATAGCGTCGCCATACTTGCGCTTTAACGGCGAGAAGCAGGCGACGTTAAGGGGCTGCAACAGGTGAGACGAGTGCGTAGGTATGCAGAGAAGCACAATATTCTTCTCCTTGCAAAGATCTTGGAAATCGACAGAGCAGTAGCTCTTATAGCCATTGATAATAAGCAGTTGATACCCACCTACAGTAGAGCTCTTTGTATGGGTATCAAAGTGCTCTAACTAGGCAAGACTAAGCTAATTATTCGTCCAGCTATTGGGACTGACTTTAAGAACCTAGTTAGCAGGCAAATCCTTAAACTAGACGTTGATAAGCACCTTGCCCGCAAAGACAACGAAGGGTGGTATTTGGCGACCTAACGCGCCCATGTAACGGCGCAGGTAAGGCAGGTCGGATCTGTTTCGGTCGTAGGATCACTCAGAGGCATATGGGAGTGCGTGGGATCACAAAGAGCCTAGATTCAACAAGCCACCTATAGGCCTTGTACGAAAGGATATCAAAAGTCTACAGAGCTAGCTACAGGGAGTGTCTCAATATATACCTATCCTAGTCGGGTCCGAATTCGGATCCGACCTCGGGCGAATGGCTGATGAAGGGCGGCAGGTACTTCCTCCGATCCGGCTCTGGGATTGGCTCAATACTTGGCGAAGTTGTAACATCGTTACACTACCCCCCTCTCAGTAGACAGCTAGTCCCATAGCTGTGAGACTCTCTTATGCCTTTTTTGTTGCAGTTCC